CCCCAAAACCCCAAAACCCCAAAACCCCAAAACCCCTTTAAAAAATTTCCAATTGAAATTCTCTACAATTAAGACCCTGATGGAATTACGATCTATTCAAAATAACCTTCTCGTTTAAGTCTGATAGACTGTCCAACCATCCACTGATGGCTTGGTGCTTTCTCTTTGAAATGGCATCCTTCTTGGCTGAGTTAATTTCTAAGTAGGTCTTAGCATTCTTTCCTTCAGATTGATCAATTTTTGCATCTAATCTTTGATCCAAAATAAGCTCAACTAAGAGAGTTTTGACTTCTTTCTCTGAAATTTTAAGTTCATCAGCAAGATAGCTTAGCTCTACTGTATGATAAGGTTTGACTTTAAGCACTAATGCATTTAATCTGATATTTCTCATGAAATCATCTAATCATTTATTCATGAAATCATCCTTCTTGATTTTGCTGAGAATATCAAAGATGTCATTGTAATCATCCTTCTCGTAAGCCTGTCTGAGGCTCATCAGCGCCCCAATTTCCTTGTCTTCCTGATACACTTTGGCCTCCTGGGTCTCTGCGTAGTTGATCTCAGACTCAGATATGATTGAAGCTAAGATCACATACTTCAGGATGGTCTTAGCGCTAGAGTTTGCCACTTCTTGGTAGCACTTAAAGGCTTCGAAGAGTTCATCTCATGCTTTCTTCCATTGCTTCTCAATCATGTAGAGTTTGCCTCCATGTTCTTTGATGACGCCTGAGACTCTGGGATCGTTGATGACAGTGGAGAGTTGTTCGGTTTTGGGGTAAATGTCTCTCATTCTTTTGATGTCATTAGTTTCAGCTCACAACTGCATCTCTAGGCAATAAACTTCCATAAGATATGAGTTGTACTGGCTGAAATCTCCTTTGGAGTCATCTCCACTAGTGCAAGTTTTCTTTAATTCTGATATGAGATCGTTGAGTTTATCATATTCTGTAGCTTGAAGATAAAGCTTTCCTAGCTTAATCTGGATTTCTAACCACATCTTATTGTCAGAGTCTTTAAGGATAGCCAAAGTTTTATCAAAGAATTTGGCTTTGAATCCACTATCTCCAGCTTCGTTGACTGCTTCTAAGATATTCGTGATAGCTGAACTTTTATCGTTTTTGGCAACCTGATCGACCATTCCCAGAAGGTTGTCATGATGCTCCAAAGCTTTATCTAGCTTTCCTAGTCTACAAGAAATAACGATGATGTGCTCGAGAGAAGCGAAGGTGTTCTCATTGGTTCCTTTTTCAGCTTCCAGTTCAATAACTTTCTCAAATTTGGATAGAGCTTCTTCTGGGTTTGAATCTTTGTTTTGTTCAGCTTCATAGAATGTGTTTATGATAAGGGCTTCTTGCTCATCTGGCTCTTCATCGCCTTCTGGGTCGGACCAACCTCCGTCAGATTCGTATTCGAAATCTCAGTCGTCAGACATTTTGTAAATAATTTATAAGATCTGAGTCTTTTCAATATTTTTCCTTTGATATGGGGTTTTGGGGTTTTGGGGTTTTGGGG